CGATCAGTTTAGGATATCTGGTCAGCATGGACAAGTTGGATCTAAGGATCTACTTCCGTGCTGTGTGACTCTATGAGACAGAAACAACAAAAAAACTTTTCGAGCCCTGTATGACCAGTCATATTGGACTAGGAAATGTTAATTCTGTTTCTCTCTGTAAAGACGCTGCCAGACGTGCTGCGGCACGTCCCATTTTTATTTCAGACTTCCAGCACCCGCAAAATTTTGCCTTTAAATACCTCTGGCGTTTATTGAAGTAATTTGGACTGAAATTAAAAGCATTACCGCTGTACACATGTGACAGGAACAGCGCAATCTTTTACAATCACCAAATAAGCAGACGCTGCGTGTGTCAAATTCAATATCAGAAGGAAACGCGAGAGCTCTGATGAGTAGCGGATCGCAAAACCGGGATCCGGCCTTGCACATGTGACGATTGTGAACCTTGATCGACTGCGCTCAGGGCAGCCCTGGGTCTCTGTGTTACTGAGTGAGCCGAGCGGAAGGCAGCGATCACGTGAAACCGCGTAAGCCATGGAGCCGAGCCTAGCGCTGCGCTCCCTCTGCCTGCTTCTGAGCTTCGCCTGCACTCTGTGCACCTTCCCTCGGAATCACTCTGCACTCGGCACCGCAGGTCGGTTACTGCTGTCATTTGGAGAAAGGAGAGAAATGTCTTAGTTGTCAACTTGTGGACACTTCTGCTGCCTCTCCCCTTGCTGGTTTACTGTAGCAACAATTGTAATCATCAATTAGTCAATTCTAGCGATTATTGTTTGCATCTAAAGTTATATTCGGAGAGTGTTGGTTTTTTTTAATTGTTTTCTCACGTTAATGTAGAACTAAAGGTAAGATATCCTTTTGTTTTGGAACTTGTTGATCGATTGGTTACAAAATGATTTGAAATGTTGCTAGTTTGTTGACGTGCGAGCACAGATTCCCTCAGCGAGAAATTGCAAAGTTTTTTTTTGTTGTTTCGTGGTTAGTCCGGAAACAACAGTGGGGAAGGAGGCACGCCTGTGTTTGAGTGAAGCACAGCAGGTGAGTTGACTGAATACGTTGGATCAAGCGCAGCTCAGAAAGAGGCCATTCGCCCTGTCGCTGTCATGCTGTTCTCTGCAACAGTAAGTCGATCCGCCCTATTAACTATTCTCTTGCCACAGTCCGACATGTTTTTCTCTCCTCTAATTATTTTCCTAAAAACACAATTAAATTTGCCTCGACTCTCGGATGCATTCCAGATGCTAACCTGTTCCTTTGTAAATATTCGTCTTTTTCCTCGTGTCCCCCTTTTATTCTACTGACATTCACCATAAATCAATGTACCCCGTGCCCCAGCATTCTCTTCTCTAAGGAGAACAGCCTCAGGCTGTCTAGCAAATCTAAATAACAATTCCTTCATTCCTGGATCTGTTCTCGCAAATCTTCTCTGTACCTTCTGTCCAGTGCATTCAAGTCCTTCCTAAATAGTGGTGCCCAGAAGTGGCCGCAGTACTCCAGTTGTTGCTGAACCAGGTTTTATAAAAGTTAATAGTAACGTAACTTGCTTTTGTTTCTGTTTGTAAAACCCAAGATCCTGTGTGTCTTCTTTTAAACAACTTTCTCAACTTGACCTGCCACCTTCAACAATTTCTGTATATAAATCCCCACATCTATGTGGTCTTACATCCCTTTTAGAATAATATCCTTTTCTGCCTTTTCCCCTTTTTATGTCTTAGATCCACAATTTCCCACCCTTACTAACTGCAGTGCCCTCACAGGCATCCTGACTGGCTCTGTTGAGGAATCAACTTTAAGTCTAGCTGACCATTCTAATACTTCCCCTTTATTAACTTTTAGCCACTCAGTGTCTCAACTAACCTCCTTTTTCAATTTGATTTTGGCAGAAATTTCCTTGTTTAGGACCGAGAAAAAGAACGAATTTGATTGCTCAACCATGCCTTCTGTGCCTTTGCATAGATCCCTTTTTGAATGCTAAATGACCTCACTCCTCTCTTACTATCATTCTACTATAGATAGCCTAGAGCACACTTTTGGATTTCCTTTTAAGATAGTTGCTAGCGCCTTCTCACATTCTCTCTGTCACTCTGATCTTTCTCATTTCACATCTGACCTTTCTTCTTTCAGCCTAGTTTCCACATTTCAAACTAACATCTCTCATTCACACATTTTGTATCAGCTTGCTCTCCACCTTTTTCATTATCCTGGAAACTTTGCCTTTTATTGGGTCATACCTAAACATGTACCTGAATTACTTTAGACTATAAGACCATAAGCTATAAGAGAAGAATTAGACAAATGAATCTGCACTGCCATTTGATCATGGCTTGTCTGTTTCTCAACCCCATTCTCCTCCCTAAACCTTTGATCTTCTTACCAATCAAGCACCTAACTATCTTTGACTTAAATACGCTCAATAATTTGGCCTCCACAGCCCTCTACAGCAATGATTTCCACAGATTAACCACCCTCTGGCTGAAGAAACCCCTCCTCATCCTAGTTCTAAAGGGTCTGCCCTTCAGTCTAAGACTGTGCCCTCAAGTCCTAGTCTCTCCCACTAGTGGAAACATCTTCTCAATGTTCACTCTATCCAGGTCTCTCAGTACTCTGTAAGTTTCAATGAGAACCCCCTAATCCTTCTAAACTCCATCAGTACAACCCAGAGCCTCAACCATTACAAAATGACAAGCCCTTTATCCGTGGGATTATTCTTGTAAATCTCCTCTGGACCCCCTCCAAGGCCAGCACATCCTTTCTTAGATACAGGACCCTAAACTGCTCATAATATTCCAAACATGGTCTAACCAGAGCTTTATACAGCCTCAGCAGTACACCCCTGCTCTTGTATTTTAGCCCTGTTGAAATGAATGCTAACATTGCATTTGCTTTCCTAGCTGCCAACTGAACCTACATGTTAACCTGAGGAGAATCCTGAACTGGGACTTCTAAGTCCCTTTGTGCTTCAGGTTTCTGAAACCTTTCTCCATTTAGAAAATAGTCTATGCCTCTATTCTTCCGACTGAAGTGCATAATCTCATGTTTTCCACTCTCCTAGCCTGTTCAAGTCCTCTGCAGCCTCCCTGCCTCCTCAACACTGCTGTCCCTCCACCTATCTTTGGCCATCTGCAAACTTAGCAATAATATCTTCATCTAGATCTTTAATATATAACATGAATCGTTGTGGATCCAACACTGATTCGTGTGGAACTCCACTAGTCACCCGCTGTCATCCTGAAAAAGGCCACTTCATCCCCAGTCTCTGCCATCTGCCAGTCAACCAACCCCCATCCATGCCAATACCTTGTGTCTAACACCATGGGCTCTCATCTTATTTAGCAGCATCTTGTCAAAGGCCTTTTGGAAATCCAAATACATCATGGCCTCTGGTTCTCCTTTGTCCAACTTGCTCATTACCTCATAGAATGACAACAGTGTGAAAGCGGGCCATTTGGCCCATTGAGTCCACACTAACCTTCCAAAGAGCATCCACCCAGACCCAACCCCTACACTATCCCTGTAAACTTGTATTTCCCATGGCTAGCTCACCTAGCCTGCACTTCCCTGAATACTATGGGCAATTTAGCATGGCCAATGCACCTAATCAGCAAATCTTTGGACTGTGAAAGGAAACCAGAGCACCCAGAGGAAACCTGTGTAGACAGGGGGAGAATGTCTGTCTGGAGTTTGCACAGTCAGCCAAGGGTAGAATCGAACCCGAGTTAGCCATGCTAACAAACGAGCCATCGTTCCACCCCAGTACTAATCCCAGCTCCCTTCACATCGTCCCTTTCCCTCTATTCTCTACCTATTTATGTGTCTTTCTGAATGCCTTTTAACCATTGCTAGCATATCTACTTTTATCAGTGCGTCAAAGTACCTACCACCTTCTGTGTAAAAAAAACAAAAATAAAATTCCATGCACAACTTCAAATTTTCCCCCTCTCATTTTAAACCTACGCCCCTGGTACTTGACATTTCCTCCCTGGGAAAAAGATACAACTATCTACCCTGTCCATGCCCCTCAACCTCTGATGCTCTAGCAAAAATAATCCATGTTTGTCCAATGTCTCCTTATAGCAAATACACTCTAAACCAAACAACATCCCGGTAAATCTTGTTTGCACCCTCTCCAAAGTCTTCACAGCCTTCCTACAGTGTGGGAACCAGAACTGCTCACAACTGTCCAAATGTAGCCTAACTAAAGTCTCATACAGCTGCCAACTTTTATACTCCATGCCCCAACTGATGAAGGCAAGCATGCTTTATGCCTTCTTTCCCACCTTATTCACTTGTATTGCCACTTTCAGCGAGCTATGGACTTGGACTCCAAGATATCTCTGGATATCATGGCTGCTAAGGATCCTACCGTTAACAGTATACTTTTTTTCTTGCATTTGACCTGCCAAAATGCATCACCTCGCACTTCCCAGAATAAACTCCTCTGCCATTTCTCCGTCAAACTTTCCAACTGAACAATGTCCTGGTTTATCCTTTGTTAACCTGTTCACTATCCACAAGTCTACCAACTTTTGTGTCATCTCTAAACCTGCTAATCAGCCCTCCTGCACTTTCATCTAAGTTATATATAATACATAATAATAAGTTATTATTAAGTTATATATAATAATATTACAAACAGCGGAGGTCCTAGCATTGATTCTTGCAGAATACCACTGGTCACAATGCTCTAGAAAAGCACCCCTGCACTCTACCCTCAATCTCCTATGACCAAGCCAATTTTGTTTCCAATTTACCAACTTACCATGGAACCCATGTGATTTAATCATTTGGACCATGACGGACCTTATCAAATGTTTTAGCAAAATCATGCAGACAACATCCACGGCCCCACCCTCATCAATCATTTTTGTCACTTACTCAAAAAAGCTCAGTCAAGTTTGAGACAAGACCTCCCCTGCATAATGCTGACTCTCCCTCATAAGTCCATTCTTTTCCAAATGTGTGTAAGTCCTCTCCCTAAGAATCTTCTCTAATAATTTCCCTACCACTGATGTAAGGCTCACTGGTCTATAATTTCCTGGATTATCCCTGTTTCCCTTCTTAAACAAAGGAACAACATTGCCTATTCTCCAGTCTTCTGGGACCTCAGCTGGGACTAAAGAGGATACAAAGATCATTATCAAGGCCTCTGTAATTTCTTCTCTTGCCTCCTTCAGTATCCTAGGATTGATCCTATCGGGGCCCAGGGACTTATCTACTTTAATGTTTTTCTAGACACCTAACACCTTCTCCTCCTTCATATGTTTTGTACCTGCTCCAATAACTTGATTCCCTAGTCAATCAAAATTTGTCTACAATGGTGCTGCTATCATTTATTTATTGTAATATATCCATATTGATAACCTGTATATACTGAATATTAACTTTGTATTTTGCATGCTATCAAAATGTGTAAAAACCTAACCTTTGAAAATGATGCCTGATGCAACCTTTTGTTGAGCTTTTCTATTTGTAATTTCTGTAGAATGTGTGAATACAGTGACACCCAAAATTAGTGCAGAAAGTATCTTTTTATCACTCCCTGTATTTTGATACGGATCTGTTGACAACAGATGTTGAGACATTTTGCTCAACATTATAATAGAAATAAAAAAATTCTGGCAACCCAAGAGTTGC